TTGATACGTTCAGTGAAAGTGATCTCATATTATTCCTTAGGCCAAACGAATTCGGTATATATACCGCAGACCGTTCAAAAAAATTATCAAAATACATTTGACCACCAAACATGTCATTTAAAGTAAGTCAAATTCTTTAACATATCTAATTAGCCTGATTATTTCGTACAGTATTTGTTATATTTCTTTTGTAATTAATATTTAATTACCTAATAAAAGTGCTCTATTTAAAATTAGTAATGCGCTGCATTAGAGTAATTGATTTTGATTTTTTTTTTTATATATGTAGTTAGAAGGTACGGCTGTCACCTGAAGGGGCTTCATAGGAATATCAAAGTTTTGACATTGTCGCGTCGGATACTCTGATGAGTTTAAAAATCTATGAGAACGAATATTTTCTCTACTCTTTAAATTAAATGCGTACTACTTAATCTTCTCGCCGTATATTGTTTAATGGTCATCAAAAAGTGGTTTAAATATATGTAACTAAATTATTTTTATTGCAATTATTGCATTATTTTGGTTTTAGATAAATACAATTTTAAAAATATTTAATAACATTACTAAAAGTTACAGTTTTATTTATTGTTTTACAGAAATTATTGTTAAAATGTTATCTACTTATTTTGAGTATATAATTCAGAACTAAAATCATTTAGGCAAATGAAATGACAGTGCAAAAAACTAGATATTTAGTCTATTTACGAGTATTATCATATGAATATATTAGACTGACAACTGCTTTTTAATACAATTCATTACATATAAAATAACAAAACACAAAATATTTTTGAGTAAGAATATAAAAAATAACAAATTCAATAACAAGTTACGTATTTAAAGATATTAAAAAGGATTTGAAGATTTGCTTCACTCACTTAAAATATCATAAAATCTAAAACCTAGAAAACAAACAAGATCTAAACAAAAAATATATTTCTATTTGTCTGTTTTCATAAACCCACTGAATAATATTAATTAGGGCAGCATATTTTATAAATTTATTATTGTTTCATTAATTCAACCATTTAGTTTTAAGTAGTGCATATAGAACATATTTTCTAATTTTATATCAGGTTTTTAAAGTTACTTTTTGTTTTCAGATCATTTCTTTCGCAGCCTTTTTGGCAGTAGCTCAAGCTGGATTTCTTCCAGAAACCTACAACGCACCATCGGAGTACGCTGCACCTGTTGCTAAAGTAGCATACTCATCGGCCCCAGATGTATCATATTCCAGCGTATCAGCCCCAGTAGGCTACGCCGTGGCCCCATCTTATGCTAAACTAGCTGCTCCAGTCTCGTACGTTGCCCCAGCTCATTATGCACCACTGCAGTACGCTGCACCTGTCGCTAAAGTAGCATACTCATCAGCCCCAGCTGTATCATACTCTAGCGTATCAGCTCCCGTAGCCTACGGTGCTGCCCCATCTTATGCCAAAGTAGCTGCCCCAGTCGCATACGCTGCCCCAGCTCAGTATGCTGCACCTATCGCTAAAGTAGCATACTCTTCAGCCCCAGCTGTGTCATACTCCAGCGTATCATCTCCAGTAGCCTACGCTGCTGCTCCATCTTATGCCAAACTAGCTGCACCAGTAGCATACGCTGCCCCAGCGCATTATGCTGCTCCTGCTGTATCCTACGCCGCTCCAGCATACAAAGTAGCAGCTCCAGTAGCCTACGCCGCACCAGTACACAAAACCATCATTGCCGAACCCGAAGCACCAGCTAACTACGATTTTGGATACGCCGTAAACGACCCCCAAACCGGAGACAGCAAAAGCCAACAAGAATCCCGTCATGGTGATGTCGTTCATGGAAGCTACTCCCTTGTTGAAGCTGATGGAAGCAAACGTATTGTAGAATACACCGCCGACGCCCACAATGGTTTCAACGCCGTTGTTCACAAGGAACCAGCGCAGGTTGCTCTTAAATCCGTTGTAGCTAAAGTCGCTGCTCCAGTAGCTTATGCCGCCCCTGTAGCTAAATTTTCTGCTCCAGTCCAATATTCCGCACCATTGGCTCATAAATCTTACTACCATTAAAGTCGTTTAGTTAAGCATGTTGCGACGTTGTAAATAAATTATTAAATTATTTTAATAAAGACTGTGAAACAAGAAACATATTTTTTTTTATAATTTAATTGTAAAAATTAATTTTTTTAATTTTGACATATTTTGCAATTGTAGCAAGTTGAAAATTATCAAAATACTTTTTTATTCAATACACGACACATAACACCCTAATACCCTAACAGCTCCGTTCTTAATGAAATATATACATCAATTAATAATAAATTCTTCACGTGAAGTTGAATCCTGAAACCAAATCACAATTTTTCTTCCTTAATGTCGAATTCCAACTCGTGATCAGCCCTGTATAGTTGTCAACAGCAAGTAACCAAAACTAAGCTATCTGCAGGAAGAACGCCACAATCGAAACTTCTAGAATAAACAATTTTCACCACGCAAGCTCGACTCTAAACGTCACTTCCGACAGGAACAGTGTTGGCCGTATTTCAAAATCATGAAGGCTTTAAAAAGAAGACAAGTATTTGAATTCTATACACGTATGCTGTCGTCGACAGTCAGAACTATGGTCTTCATAGTCAGAACCACAACCGGACCCATTTCAATTATGACAACGTCGATACTTGACTTTCCAAACGTCAAGTCAGTTAAGACCAGCTGTCTAAGAAATATTTTTATCAACATATATTATAAATGAATCGAATAACGAACTAACCATATACGAGTATTCTAATATCCCAGAATACCGAAATACAAGAGGTTAAACAATTAACCACACAAAATACAAATAATGGTTTTACTAAAACTATCTTAATTACATAATATATTTTTAGAACAATTGTCCAGAGATTCTATAACCTCAGTAAAATATAGTGTTCAACAGAATAAAATTATGGGGTACGGCGATACCCACAAGAAAAATAAAATTAAACAAAAAGATATACGCATGTCAGCTCCCCTTATTGACGAAGACAAGCCTAAATTATTCTAAAACCTCGGGTCGTTTTAAATGACTGTTCGTGAATTAATCACACGACTATCAAAAAGTTAGTAATTAGATCATACTGTCGAACTTGGGTCATATTTATTATCAAAAACAAGCTAAAGAAAATAAAAATAAACTCACTCCTCTGACAGAATTTGAGGAATTACAATATTGGCAAAAAATGAGAAGTTTAAATGCATCACCAAGCTCACAGGTACTCTATTAACAAATAGATTAAACAACGAGTCAAAAACTCGTAAGTTCCGATTAACAATATCAGTTAGCGAGTCACAAGTGTCACTACAGTGAAATCCGAAGAATTTACACGGACAGCTGTAAGCTGGAAACCAGAAAACCACCATAGGCACTCTAGGAGAGAACTAGTCTCAAATGAAACAAAAATTCACAGTTACAAGGTATGTAGTACATTAATATTTCAACTCAATAAGACAAAGAAAGATACTGCCAAAATATACAGAGTGTGTCCAAAAACAAAGTCACTTGCCAAAATCAGTTACCAAAAATGTCAGGGCGAAAGCAGATCGTAACATCCTGGTCTGATTCGAATGGGCTTTATAGCAATCTCATCGTACATAAAATATGAACGATAGCATTGTCTTGTAGAGGTACTTTAAAATCTTTAACTCCAAACAACAAGCCGATTCTAATGATGAATTCAACTAAGTTGTTATGTCTTTATATAGACGATTTCCTAAAACGGTCATGAAGAGTTCAAATTGACCAATAGTGCAAAAGAATAATTCTCTAGGGTCTCACGGAATAATTCGGTTTAAAGCACACAAAGAAAAAATGATCAGTTTTTTCTTTTTGGAGAATTTGCATTGAATAGCAACCGCGTTTTCCAAACCTCGCATTTTCGCGGATATGTATCGATATCTCCGATTGTTTTATTTAATTTTGATATTAGGGATAAAGTAACTAATATCACTTTTTGTGGATCTAAAAAGAAATAATCTATTTGGAGAATTCAATTATCAAATTCGCTTCAATTGAAGTCACGTTTAGGCCACCTGTCAACCGAGGTGAGTATTGATACACCGATAAAATAAAAACACTTAAATAACGCATAATATGTAAATAAAACTACTATAAAACAATAAATCATATCAAAAAAACCATTTTAATAATAATTTAAATTTGAGTAAAATTATTGTATATTAGGTTTATGTACATCTTCAATTTAATTTAAATTTAATATAAACTTAGTTGAATTTATGGTTGGTAAATAAATACTATTCATATTAGTATACTAGTATATTATTCCAGTCAGCTTTGATCTATGGATATTTATAAGCCACTGAAATTACATATTATACACTTTCTGGTAGAATAGTTGTGATCTATGTTTTTCGAACAGTGCGTTTTTTATAGATACATAATAAGATAATATATAATTGTATAAAATTCATCACTTTTCTTTCAATAAACAAAGAATTCTACGAGTCCATTTTTGATTTAAAATCTTTTTAAGATTTGTTTTGTGTTAAACATCAATTTTTTCAGATCGACTTGAAGAATTCCGCCCCATTCAAGTACTTGTATCAAAGTTTAACCTCGACTGAACAAGAGAATAATAAATTATTTTTAAATCAGGAAGATCTAAACGTATTTAAATTTTGAAACACAGATTTGGCAAAATCCTTGACATGGGCGTTCTACTTAAGATGCAAGTCTAGTTTCATTCCCAAATATTTAATTTTCTTCACTAACTTAATAGTTGCATTGTGGTAATTTTAAATTCGTATTTCATTAAAGGATGGTAAAGACGATTTACAACTATAAAAAGAAACAAAATAAGTTTTCTCAAAGTTAATAGTTAATTTTACCAACAATATAAACTATTGTGTAGCATTTTTTATAGATACGTTCAGTGAAAGTGATCTCATATCATTCCTTAGGCAAAGTGAATTCGGTATATATACCGCAGACCGTTTAAAAAATAATCAAATCACATTTGACCACCGAACATGTCATTAAAAGTAAGTCAAGTCCTTTAACATGTCTAATTAAACTAGTAATAATTATTATTACGATTGTGTAGCATACTTATTTGTTATTATTATTATTTCTCTTGTGATCTTATAATATTTAATAATTTAATAAAAGTTCTCTATTTAAAATTTATAAGGCGATTATCTTTGGTAAACATAAATGATTTGAGTTTTTTTATTAATATATAGTATGATGGTGTGGCTGTTACCTTAAGGGGATTACAGCACTCCTTATAATTTTCGGACAGGGATTTCTAAAAAAAGTAATTTTTTTAAAAAATTAAAATTTTAGTAAAATAAATTAGGCAATAATATCTAGAATATGCATACATTTTAAAGTTTTAATTCCTTCCAGTTCCACAAAAAAAAAATTAAATTATTTTAATGAAAATAAATGCATTTCTCAACAGCAATATTCTAAATATAATCCATAAATTTAAGCTCTTAATGTCTTGTTAATGATTTTTTAAAATTCGCCAAAATTAGTGGCTAAAACGCCTCGTTAAGTTCAAAAACTAGATATTTAATCTATTTACGAGTAATATCATAGTATACAGTCAACTATTTTTAAATAAAATTTATTTAGTACCTATAAGATAACAAAACAAAAAACATATTAAATATAATATAACAATATAAAAAAATATAAAATAAAAATAACAAAATCAATAAAATAAAAACTAGGTTTTTTGATTTGGAAATATTTATTTAGAGACAGTACAAAGATTTTAAGATTCACTTTATTTTCTTGAGGTGTGACAAAACCTACATAGAAAATGTATTTATATTTGAATATTAACTAATGTATTTTATTAATTTATTACTGTTTTATTAATTCAACCATTTTATCTTAAATGGCACATGTAGAACACACTTTTTATTTATAATCAGGTTTTTAAAAGTAACTTTTTTTTCAGATCATTTCTTTCGCAGCCTTTTTGGCAGTAGCTCAAGCTGGACTTCTTCCAGAAACCTACCACACATCACTGGAGTACGCACCTGTCGCATACTCATCAGCCCCAGATGTATCATATTCCAGCGTATCAGCTCCAGTAGCCTACGCCGCTGCTCCATCTTACGCAAAACAAGCTGCTCCCGTCTCATACGCTGCTCCAGCCCATTATGCACCATTGCAGTACGCTGCACCTGTCGCTAAAGTAGCATACTCATCATCTCCAGCTGTATCATACTCCAGCGTATCTGCTCCCGTCTCATACGCTGCCCCAGCTCAGTATGCTGCACCTATCGCTAAAGTAGCATACTCCAGTGTATCATCTCCAGTAGCTACTCCATCTTATGCCAAACTAGCTGCACCAGTCGCATACGCTACTCCAGCCCATTATGCTACTCCAGCTGTATCCTACGCCGCCCCAGCATACAAAGTATCCACTCCAGTAGCCTACGCTGCCCCAGTACACAAAACCATAATCGCCGAACCTGAAGCACCAGCTAACTACGATTTTGGATACGCCGTAAACGATCCCCACACCGGAGACAGCAAAAGTCAACAAGAATCCCGTCATGGAGATGTTGTCCAAGGAAGCTACTCCCTTGTTGAAGCTGATGGAAGCAAACGTATCGTAGAATACACCGCTGATGCCCACAATGGTTTCAACGCAGTTGTTCACAAGGAACCAGCTCAGGTTGCTGTTAAAGCCGTTGTAGCTAAAATCGCTGCTCCAGTAGCTTATGCTGCCCCTGTAGCTAAATTCGCTGCTCCAGTCCAATATGCCGCACCATTGGCTCATAAATCTTACTACCATTAAAGTCGTTTAGTTAAGCATGTTGCGACGTTGTAAATAAATGATTAAATTATTTTAATAAAGACTGTGAAACTAGAAGCATATTTTGTTGAATATTCTGTAACTGATAAAGAAAAGTTCATTACCTATTTCTCTAGTTGTAAAAAACAAATAAATATACCCCTTTTTTGGATTTAAAATCAATGTATACATTGCTTATGCAAGTTTATAGTGAAGGAAGAAAAGTTAGCCGTATAAAAATATATTTCTACATTAAACTTACAATTTTAGTAGTAATTCTGTTAGGTCGCTCCCTAAAACCGTCTTAATCCATCGTAAACCTCTACAAAATACTTTTTAATTCAATAAATGACGCTGACATGACTTTATGAACAAAAAACTTAAAATATCTATATCCGCTTAGTGAAAAGTCATGGTAGGGGAAGCAAAAGCGATACTATTGCAAACTGCGGATAATTCCAGCACTTTAGGGCGATATTTTGTCATTTTGGCGACCGCGAAGCGGGAGGATTATTCTGTCAAACTGACACGATTTGTAATTATGCAGGAAGTTTGAGATGTATAACCGTATTTATTTTGAAGTACGTATTGTGTTTGATACGATTATTTTTTGAGTAAATTAAGTAAATATCAACAATTTATTAATTTAAATACATATTGGTACAATGAAAATTACAATTATTAATTATTGATAAAGGTCAAAATTTGACGTTCCTGTTAGTTAGTGTATTGTTGTCGATGTGGTTACTACGGAAATGAAATTATTGTAAATATTTTTGATTGGTGGAGCTACTCTATGTATAATCAGGTATTATCGAAATTATACGAGGAAACTTAACTAAATTGAACGTTCTAATTGGTTAAAAGTTATACGAAAAAAATAATCAGAATAATATTTTTATTTTTGGCAAGAGAACTCTACACCTCCTCGTTGGTTCTTGCTGGGCAACAATTAAATATGCCATTGATATATTTGTCCTGAAAACATCAGTTTATTTAATTGGCTAAGTAGAGGTTTTAATTTATAGTTTTAACATTTTTACACCTGCCACGTCAAATCGTCTGATATTCATAATTAATAGCTAACTTCATACTAATCTGACACTTTTATTCATCATTTAATTTTCTTGTTAAAGATTGTTAGTTTTCAAGAAAGTGGGTAATTTGCATAGGTATTCGCTCCGTGCAAAACAGCAGCGCCAATTAATTTATGTATTAATGGACAATTTTTGCGTATGCTGACAATACAATTTTTAATAGAATTCGTAATTTAAAAGTATATATCTTAGTTTTAATAAAAGTATATGGATTAGTAAAACAAGTGAAAACATTAATTTTTTATTAATATTACATATTTTTATTGCTTCAACCAAGAAAAAGTAAGTATAATAAAAAAAAATCAATAATAAAACATAGGCAGGCAATAGTATTTACGAGAAAATGTATGAGAAGTTGCCTAAGTACAACAAGTTGTCTTTGAAGAATTAACGTATTCTATCCAAATAAAAAATACCTTTAAATAATAGCGTGAACTTAAAAATGTATTAACAAAAGGATTGTTATTTATATTTTCTTTATTTTTGTTTGAAAGAAAACATAAAATCAATGATTAAAACTACTTTCCTATTAATAAGTCACAACATTTTATTCCAGCCAGATACAATAATCAAAATCAGAAATCTAGTTCTTGTTGAACATTTAAGATTAAAGAGATATTGAAGAACATCGTAAAATGATAATTTTTTTTTTATTATAAAACCTTTCACATTTGTGATGTCTATTATTTCCAGTATTACTGTTATTATTGCAAAAATAAAGGTAATTTTCTTCTTATTTTACAGCTATCCATTTATTTCTTTGATTTAGTTTTCACTTTGCTAATGAAAATTTTAATAAATTACACTGTTTTTTTGCTAGTATTTTAACAATTTACAACACAGCAACTCCGGATGCTTATTGTATTGTTTTACTTACTTTTTATTAAACTGTCAAACTGACACTCTTTATAATTATGCAACAAGTTATCGATGTATAACCTGATTATTTTGAAGTACTTATAGTATTACTACTGATTATAAAATTAAGAAGAACAAAAAAGTAAATTCTAACACACATAAATTGTTTTAGTTATGTGTAAAAATGCAATTTAATTATTGGCAAAATTGGGGATAAAAAAATATTTTTCTTCGTCAAAAATAGTTTTTTTTTATCAAAATCGGGTTATTGTCAAAATCGGTTTTTTATGTCAAAATTGGTTTATTTATTTCACAATCGGTTTTTTTGTAAACATCGGTTTTTTTGGCCAAAATCGGATAATTTCTCAATAGTCCAATAGTTTAAAATAGTAGTAGTTAATAATTTAAAAGTTTGTGAAAGATAATTCTGAGAAAAAATTGAAAGATAAACCTGATGAAAATAATTTCTTATAAAACTATTAACTATTTTTTATTTTATGTTTTCTTATAAATTAAAGAAAGTCTGCGATCTTTGGTCTGTGATTAAAATAATATTAAATAAACGATCTTGGACGATTGTATTTCGCAGGTGATTTTTAATTCTTTTCAAAGTAGAAAATGATCTTTCTACTGAAGCCGAAGTAACAGGGATGGCGAGGGTTAAACATAATAAATTATAAAACTGAGGCAAAACTTGTTGTAGACCATTGTCGCATAGATATCTTAATCAGAATATATAACACGCAATTCATTTTTCAATGCTACTTTATCAAAAAAATATATATTTTACAACGAGATTCTCTAGAAGATTGTCTGGAAACTGTTTTGAAAAAACGTCACAAACATATTTTTATTAGTCAAATCAAAAAATTGTTAGCTTCTTAATCTACTTGTAATGAAGTTGTTTGTCTTTAAAATTATATGTTTTTCTTCTTTTTGTATCAGGTTTTTTAGTAGAAAAATGTATTAAAATAACGTTCATCATTACGAAATTTTGAAAGTGTTCCAATGAGACATTTTAACTGATTTCTGGAATGAACTATCTCTGTAAATTCGTGTTGCAAAATCTGGAAAACAGTATCTGTTTGTTCAAATATTACTTTGATATATCGAAAAAGAACAAAAATTCTGCATTAAGAGCGTTATCCAGTACGCTCCTAATCCAGATTTCAAATCTGCTAAATAATGTTTGGCAACGTTGCGCGCTGTCTGTAGTATGTTTCTTTGAGTCGGATTCGGGTGTGCGTTTTAAGCTTTGTTCCAACACACACACAAACCGTAATATTACGGTCATCGTCATGCGCAGTAAATAAAAACCGTTCGACTTTGGGCTTTATTGATAGGTTTTTATTTACTGCGCATGACGATGACTGTAATATTACGGTTTGTGTGTGTGTTGGAACAAAGCTCTAGTTTTTAGTAGAGCAAAATTTAGTACAAAAGTCGCTTATTGCTCGAGATGATAAAAATTGGCACAGAACCAAATCAGACCCTATAGGTATTATGCCAATAAGTAGTATATGAAACGGCCACTTAGACATTTGTCAATACCTATTGCTACGTTTAAAATGTACCTCATCGAGCAGAGCGAGTAGATTTTTTGGTCACGTGACATCGAACAAATCATATCAATGGAGAAAACGGAGCAAAAGGGGCAGTATTAAGTAAAAAAAGCAAAACAAGGTACTTTTCAAACGCAGCACGAGTAGGTCAGACATTTTTTATGACAAGAAGAAAACAAAAATCAGCAATTATTAAATATTACTATTATTTACATCACCGTAGATTGTAAAGTAATCGAGTATCGACTTGATTTTTTTATGATATATAGTAGAAATATGACCGCAAGTTTCAGAAAATATTATAAAATAATAGCCTCCACCAAAAACATAAAATATATAGATTTATTTTAAAAATAATATTAAAATATTATGATTTAATTGCAAACAAAATCAATAATAATTGTAAATTACTTATATATAGACAATCGCAGGTACGTACGAGCTTGTCGAAAGATAAAGGATATTTGATTAACATATTTTTTTTAACAGGACTTTACTTGCTCACAATGTATTGTTATATAAAAATAAAATCAATTTGTATGTATAACATTTATTATGATCCATACTACTCATTATTGATATACATATATATATATATATATATATATATATATATATATATATATATATATATATATATATATATATATATATCAAAATTTGGACTCCGTAGCCCCATTATGCACGACTCCATAAATAAGCATGCCAAATTTCATAAAAAATATTAAAAAATATTAAAAAATAGGCCTGGAATCTAGGAATTACTTTTAAGTCAATTTTAGCACATGCATAACGCTCTTAACTAAATGAGATTTTAAACCAATGGCAGCATTTAAAGAAAGATGATCTGTTAGAAATTCATCTGTTAAGATGTAATCAAACACTTCTATTCATTTGTCTTTATTGTTATAAATAGTAAAAACCTCACGCGATGTAAAATTCCACCTAGTTGGTGCATTACTAGGAATTCTGTTCCCTACAAGTTTATTAAGAAACTCCTGAGCGTTAAGTAAAATTAGAAAAAAAAAAAATTGAAAAGGCAGATGAATTCGAAAAAAAATTTTTTTATTTGTTTGGTAGAATTACAAGCGTCACTTAAAACCAAATTCATGTTATGGGCATAACAATGAGTGAAAATAACCGGAGGGGCAACTGATTTTATTTGAGTTTGAAGCCCATTTATGTCCCACCATTTGTTTAATAAAAAATCAAATAAATCATTTGCAGTTCTTCCCGAACTTACATCATAGAAGCGGAAAAATCGTTCAGTTATATTACCATTTTTTACAAATCTAAATATAACTGCGATTTACAGGAAATATCCGCTCTTTCATTAACTTGCCACGAAAAAAAAAAATTAATTATCTCAGACGTTCCCGAAAATACTGAAGCATTATCCATAAAATCACGAAGCTTGTTGTCGTACTTGCAAGTTTTTTAAACTTTATTTACGGATTCTTGAGATTCATCATGTCGTCTAAAGACTAAGGGGCCTATTCAGTAACTCTGAACGACGTCGTTAATAGACGATAATCGTTCACAGACGACTTTTCTTATTCAGTAAACAACGATTGTCGTTGAAAATAGACAAATATGGTTGTAAAATTGTCGTTTATAAACGATAGCCACAGAGCTGTCGTTAATAATATAAAGTGTCGTTATAGTAATTTTTCCATTCCTTCTCATTTTTCATTGTATTCTTAATAATAAAAG